TATATATATATATTTTGAAAGCCCAAAAAGACCAATATATTAAATAGAAAGAAATATACAGATACAATGTGTAGGAGGGCCCAAACATGACACTCTGCTCACACAAAACCACAAATGATTCCAAAACTAGAAAAAATAAGAAAAATATATTAGATACTTAAATAAAAAGTCTAACAGTGCCGAAATACATAGTATCAGGTGGCTAGAGAGCGACCCAATTTGGTCTTGCCTCTGCCTCTAGTACTAGGGAAGAAACAAGCTAATAAGCTGGTAAGATGATTGTCATTATCAGTAGTAACCAATGTATCATCCAATATGTTCCCGAGCTGGAGTCAGCCTACATTCTTCTTCTTCCTCCTGGAATAGACATGCCATTCCTCTTCCAAAGAATCAGTCTGATGAATCATGCTGATGGAGCTGAAGCAGAAGGAATACCAACTGTAGTACCCACAATAAGTTCTAGTATTTGTGAAGTATGAGTTGCCTCTATACCGGATACTTCCCGAAGAAGTGGAGCTACGGGAGCTACGAGGCTCTCCTGATTAACAGTCTGAACACTATCATTTGTAGCTAATAGTCCATTAGTATTTTTTTCTACTATGGTTTTTGAAGGTGCCAACATGGGGGTGGGGGGGTCCTCAGGGGCAACAGACACGTCCTGTCTGGTAGTATCCTCTCCTGGTGGAACTAAAATGTCCAGAGCAGTGGGGTTAGACCCATCCTTATTCACTTGAACTTTAGATTTCAAATTTAGATGAAACTTATGGCATTTATCTAGAACATGACCAAACATCTTACAGTGGGTACAATATGAGGGTCTGTGCTCCATGACGATTTGTTGTCAATAACCATTATGGGTTGTCCCAGCCAGACTTCAGTAACATCAGGTAAAGTAATATCCCTTTCAACAGGTATTCTGGCCACCGAGGGTCTGGTTAGGTTGAAAGTAGGCAGAGCTAACTTAAAGGATCCCCAAGGATGACCCCAATAGAATAGAAAACCTTATGGTGAAAAAAAGTA